AGAAGGGGGACGACAGAGGACGAGATGGCTGGACAGGGTCATCAAAGTGACCAACATGAATTTGACTCAACTCTGGGAGGGAGTGGAAGACAGGAGGGCCTGGCGTGCTCTGGTCCATGGGGTCACAAAGATTCGGACATGACTCTTTGTGTGTGGGTGGGTGGGTGGAAGGATTCTTAGAATCTCCAGCCATTATGTTTGGGAAAAATAATATGTCCAGCCTCTGATTTTTGGAGTAGGTCCTTCTGCGCTAAACAGAAGGCTGAAATTACTTAACGTAGCTCCATTATGAAGTTCAGTACCCGGTGCCTAACCAGAGTTTTGAAAAAAGACAGCCTGGAGGAACGGTAGCAGGTTCCTAAATGAAAAGCAGGCACCAAAAAGTTTATGAGCTTCTTACCTTTGGATTATATTCAGCATTTCTGGCATGGAGGGCTATATTCTTGAGATCCAGTTTGCAAGCCAGGTTTACAGTGGCTACTATATTCCTGAGAGGAAACAAGAGACAACATATTGCACACAGGACCTCAGGAAACAGGGAAGATAATAGCGGAAAACATTGTACAGGTAATACTTAACCATATTCCATTGTCTTTTTCAATGCTCAGGACTAGGATGAAATTCTGCACCCAGGAGAAGTGATATCATCTCGCTTCCACTTTGCCCTGAGATATGGATACCATTTGACCCAACTCCGGGAGGCAGTGGAAGACAGGAGGGCCTGGCGTGCTCTGGTCCATGGGCTCACAAGGAGTCGGACACGACTTAATGACTAAACAACACCAACAAATGGATACCAGCCCTGTTTTTGATCATATAGTGGAATAAATATTTTTGCACTTACAAGCGGAAATTGCTAGGAGAGGCTCCAGATGAAATATTTATTTATTTTATCTGAAACAGTCTTACCCGCCTTTCTCCTTAAAAAGGACTCAAGACTACTTAAGTTATCAAAAGACAATATTAAAAAGCGAAAAACCACAAATACAAAAATATTAAAAAGAAGGAAACCAACACCACATGAAAAATCGACACCCAAACCACTTTCAAACACAGCAAGATGCAACAATCCATTTAAAAACATCCTCTCAGACAGTCAGTCATGAAGGGAAAGCCTGCCTGGAGAGAAAGATCTATTTGCCTGCTTGCGGAAGGGCAGTCAAGACGGGGCCAGGCAGGCCTCCAGTGGGAGGGAGTTCCAGAGTCTCTGGGAGCAGCCACAGAGAAGGCGCTGTCCTGGGTCACCCTTTGTTAAGGTGAGGGGACTGAGGGAACAGGTTCCCCAGAGTTTCAAGCCTGGACTTGCTCAAGGGAGCTGAAATACGAAACCCCAGGAGTGACTTACTGTAACTGTGGAACAATGCCAGAGCTTTCGGAAGTGGGCGTCACTGGGGTCACTGGCATCATCGGAGTCATGGGGAGAGACTCGGGGGAGTCCGCCAAGGTCCGAGTCATCTTTTCGTCCCCGCCTTGGCACAGGTCGCCATCATCCCAGGGCTCGCCACAACGTTGTGTTCTCAGCGGACTGTCCCCTTCCTCTCCCAGCAGACCACTGCTACCGTCCTCCTTACCCTCCAGGTCTAACTCATCCGGCAGAAAACTGAGGTCTACTGCAGAGAAATCTTTGACCTGATCAGGCTGAGAATGAAAGGTTGCCTCCAGGGATGAGGAGAGAGGGAAGTCAGCTGCAAAGGGGCACATGGGATGGTAATCTTGGGTGCTCGTAGTTGACAGAAGATCATCCTTTAGAAAGACAGTAGCAAGGGGGAAACGGATCAGATGTGTGTTCGTGGTTCCCCGGCTACTCTGCACAGCTCATCTTTATTGCCATGGTGCCTTCCAACAAGCCTTTGTCCTCCAGTTTGGTTTGGACTGGGGGCTTCGCTCCTTTTCCTACACAATGTACATGCCAGCATGAACCGCTCCATCTGCTGAGGATGCCTACCTGGATCTTTTTCGGTCTCTGTAGGTGCTACTCTTTTGCTGTCGTTGCTTAAAGTCCAGCCATCTCTTTGCTGAGACTGTTTAACAGTCTTGAGAAATGGAGAGCTTCCTTTCCACTCCCCTGCAGGCGGGAAGGGAAGTTTTGCATTCCTTTTTAATGGTTGCTGACCTATCAGCCCTTTCCAAGCTATGCTGATTAGCCAAAATGTAAAAGAAACGGACAACTTTGTCTCCCTTCCCCTTCGTAAATGAGCAGAAGAGAAGCTTCCCAAGACGGAGAAGCAGCCTCACCAAAGGGACAGTCAGCCAGACACTGAATGATCTTAAGAAATGAGAAGCTTCCCTTAAAAGAGAATGAAGGGAAGTCTTGATTAAGTGGAACAGGGTCGACTGAAGCGCAGTGTGCTTGATCCTTGCAGGCGGATGCAACCATTAGCCCAAATGACACACCACACTTCAAATCAATGCTGTTTAACGTGACCTGAGAACACTGGTTCTCAACCTTGATTCCCCAGATATTCTGGAAGTGCAACTCCCAGAAGTGTTCAGCACTAGCTGTGCTGGCCATGATTTCTGGGAGTTGTAGTCCAAGAACATCTGTGGACTCAAGATTGGGAAGCACTGATCTAGAGCAGCGATTCCCAACCTGGGATACATGTACCCCCTGGGGATATACCAGGGCATTTAAGGGTACATGAAAAAAAATTGAATTGTGGTGCGAAAAGGCACATATGTCAACGGAGTAAGTCGCTGATTTATATCCTGAGCCATAAGAAACCACTCAACTTCTTCCCATCACATAAGAGCCCAGCCAATCGAATTTTGCTCCATGGCAGCATCCATTTTCGTTCAGCCGCTGAAGCAGGTGCTTAGAGTCTACTATTGTTATGTACTGTTGTTTTCTGAACCCAGATTTCTGGTCTGAAAAAGTTTTGTGTCAGGTGAAATTCCGGCACTGGGCTTATACAGTATTACGGCTCCATTAGGAAGATTGGACTAAGAGAGGACTAAGAATTGGACTAAGATTTTTTTTTCCTGGAGAAAGAGTGTGAAATGGACACAATCACTACAGGAGCTCAAGGCTCATCAAACACAGAGCGACAGTGGTGCCTTTGGAAATATTTGGAAAAATGGTTTTGTGAACAGTGGCTTTACGAACCATATAAACTGTGGAAAATTGTCTTGCGGCTGATTATAGTGCTTTGTGATTGTACTAGAATAAGAAATGTTAATGATGGTAAAGAAGGGAGTTGTAAGAGCCTTTGTCATAGAATGCTAGGTGTTGTATGAAGTAAAACCAGAGCATAAATATATATCCGTTTGCAGCGAGAGCAGTGGAAAAATGAATACCATGAAAACACAGGAGTATGAACTTAGCAAGCAAATCATTGTATGATTATACATGGAGTTTTTCCATATTTGTACCCTAGAACCACTGATCTAGAATGATCCTGGCAGGGAGAGCTTGGCCGTGTAGTTGCAGGCTATGTTAGAAGGTGGAGATCCGAGCAACGCCTTGACAACTGCGGCACAATAGCTATGCTTCCATAACTGCCTGTCCGTACATTTACAGCCTACATCTGTAGCAAGATAATATGCCACGTTTTATTTCATCCACAAGAGCAGTGAAAGGCCCTGTTCCCATCATCTTAAGCTGTCTTGATCGGACAGCATTTGGTGCCTAGCAATAGAGGGAGGGCTGCAGGATTACTCGTGTGGATATAGATCCCAACTAACTTCTAAAGCTGCAGAAGAATTGCATAATTTGGATGCGGGCGACGGGGGAATTGAAATGGCTAAAAGATTTCGTGTACCTCAGCTCCGTCCTCTACCCAAATGGAAAGTACAGCCAAGAAAGCAGAAAAATGAAGTGTAAAAGAACTGCTACGGAGGAATGAGAAAGGCGACTCAGAAGCAGGGCTGTGTTGTTGGAGTTGAACGTCAAGATAATCTGTACTACGTTATTCCCAGAGATTTGAAAACTGGACAGGGAAGAAAGTGGACAGGGGGATAAAAACCTGATTCATTTGAATTCACATATGTCTTATTCGTCCCCAGATCAGTAAACTAGATATACATTGAAATGGTTCCTGTAATAGCTGGATCAAGCCACTACTCTCCAAATTGTTAGCAGTTCCTTCACCTTTTCACTGTGTCTCCTCACATCTCCAGCTACAATTTTATCTGGATTTCCTAGGGAGTAAATACCATTCAATCCGCCAGGCCTTACTTAGAAATGGATCAAGCTGGAGCCCTTTGTCATGACCTCAGAATCAATCCCACTTACCCTGGTGATATTCCAGTGTGCAATGAAAATTTCAATGCACTCAGAACAAGGAAGACTACTGGGTGCTAGTGTGGCATCAAGAGTCAGCTGGGGGCAAGAGTGCTCTGAGTTCAGATCTTACCTCTGGCTGTTAATAGATACGGGTTTAGACAATACTCTCGGCCTCAGCCTGCAGTTGGAGAATGGCTTCAATGGTTTACTTTTAACTAGTAACACTGTAGAAATGTTCAACATTATTAGGAATAAAAAATAATACAGACATTATATTATCTTCACTTGGCATCCGACTTGCAAGCACCAGAGAGGAAAACAGCTGGCAATCCGCCCCCCCAAACAGGCAATAACAAGACATGTTGTTATTCTCCGACGATCAATAGCCCTCATTTTACCTGGGTTGTGCAATGGTCTAAATAGTTTTCTAGTGAGAATTCTCCATCCATACCCACAACTGTTTATAGTTCAGTAGTTAACCGAGTCTCCTGAAATGGGATTTAGAGAGAAGCTGGAAATTACTGCTGTAGAACCCAAACCGCATCCTTTCAACAGACCAAGGCTAAGTGACTGCAGCTGCGTGTGTTAGGAACAACCATCGGTGAGAAAGAAATCAGGTGTGTGCTCTCTCTTGCAAAAAGAAAAGGGGAAATAACAGTCCCCGGATGGTTTCCTTGATTTTTCTCAAGACTTATTGCAAGCAGAGAGAGAAAAATAATTCCACTGTATTTTCTATTAAAAATGGTGTTATGCTTGTAGCAAGCTTGGATATGTACTTGACCTCAGTAGGAAGACTGGCTAAGATTATTTTTTAATATCTCTGCTCCCCTACCTGTCTCAAGTTTCTTTAAATAATAAAATCTTTTATTTAATAATAAGTTTTTTTTAAAAAAAGCTCCACTTGATGAATACCTTTCTAAAGAAAACAAATACTACTACTATAACAAAATAAAAATAGTAATGCTTACTATACACTAAATTCTACCGTGCACCCCATACCCATGGGACCCCATTGAACAATCTTTTTATTACAAACTTCCTTTCCATAATTGTATAGATTGTTTAGAGGCTTTCCCCTTTCCTTTCACTAATACAAATTCAACAAATCTACCCCAAATAGCATAAAAAATTAGAATTTATTTCCCCTCTTTTCATATTGAGTTCAATAGTCAATTTATCATTTAATGCAATGTCCCCAAACTTCATGATGAATAGTTCTGAAGGACTCTCTAGTTTTAATGATCGAACAGTGCCCCAAGAAAGGCAGTTCTGGGTTCAGTTCCTTCTTTGTTTCTAGAAGAATGACTATGTGCACAGTGTGTGTGGGGGGTGGCAGCTGCTTTTTGGGGTCCAGAACTGTACAGATGGATGGGAGCACCAAAATCTGTGAAAAATTGCATGCAATAGGTCCCAGGATTGCCATGCTTACCAAATTTAGGGTTCCTTTAGAAAATGATCACAAGAGTCTTGGGACAGTTTCTATTTATTTTTAAACATGCTTCTTTTATCCTTTTTTTCTGGGACAGAACCTCGCTGTTCAGATTTTTTATTTTGATCTCGAGGCTGTATTGGATCCTTAGACTTGCCTCAATTTATACGCAGTCTTTTAATCCCTACAATATTCTTAACATTATCCATGAACTGCATTTTGTAATTGTTTTTATATACTCTCCCGATGATACTTTTGTCTGAACAGACAACATAAAGGAACTGTAAACATTACATGCTCTTCTTACTGTCCTTGGCCTAGCCTCTGGCGCCTTCTAATAGCTAGTTCTAGAAAACACATCCATGAAATACTGTACATAAAAATAGGTTTTTGGTTTTTTGTATTCACAAACGCATTCATAGCCAGGATCTGATGGTTGTTGCAGGTTTTTCAGGCTGTCTGGCCGTGTTCTGGAGGTTTTTCTTCATAACCTTTTGCCAATCTCTGAGGCTGGCATCTTCAGAGGACAGGAGTCAGAACTCTGTGTTCTGGTGTAGTGCGTGGCATAATTGAGTATTTATAGCTGTGAGATCAACTTTTTGTCCTTTTCAGAAGATAGGGTGATTATGGTGATCAGGGTGTTTTTGTTATGGGTGTATTAATTAATATAGGTTAATATTAATGATCAATGAACCTTGAAGAATATGCTTATGAATTATTCCAGCTACCATCTTTAATTAATAAACTTGTTTTGTTGAAAAGTCAGTACTGGATGGACCTTCATCTTTTCTAAGTAAACTAGGTTGATAAAAGAGATCAACTGGTGGCAGCGTATCAGAGGGTGTGCTGAGGTACCTGGTAAGCTCTGTGTTTGGGTTAACAAGCAGGAGCCATGAGGGCAAACGCCACACAGGCATTGAACTTTCAGACATAAATTGCCAAGTTATCTCATATGGATACCTGCAACAAGTTCTTCAGCCAGTGACTTAAATACTGACTTAATCTTTGTAACATACTTAAAACCTATTTTTATTGAAAGTCTTCTTTAACAGAGTACAGTACTAAAAAACTATACAAAAAAGTCTCCATATAAATAACCAAGTGCAACATTGATGGCTGATAAATTATTTCCAAACTCTGCATATTATGTGTAGGAGAAAGCTTCCTGGCAACACTGCCCGAACCATTCGAACATCGAGAAAGAAAATTTCTCCCTTTGTCTTTCATGTGTTCTTTGGCGCGAGTGGCTCTCTCTTCCAACTAGGAAAAAAAAATGAATGTGGAACCTATAGGTGAGGGGATACGGAGTGTTCAAAAATGACAAGGCCTACATATATCAAGGGATGTGGTGGTGCTGCAGGTTAAACTGCAGAAGCCTCTGTGCTGCAGGGTCAGAAGACCGGCTGTCGTAAGATCGAACCCATGTGATGGAGGGAGCCCCCGTCGCTTGTCCCAACCTAGCCGTTTGAAAGCATGTAAAAATGCGAGTAGATAAATAGGTACCACCTCAGTGGGAAGGTCATGGCGTTCTGTGTCTAGTCGTGCTGGCCACGTGACCACGGAAACTGTCTTCGGACAAGCGCTGGCTCTACGGCTTGGAAACAGGGATGAGCACCACCCCCTAGAGTCGGACACGACTGGACTAAAGGTCAAGGGGAACCTTTACCTTTTACCTTTATATATATCAGTCTTCCTTCCTGCTTCCACACATCTGACAAGGTCAGTGGCATTTTTCCAAGACTTCCAAAGAGACACACACACAACGTTATGGAGTTTTGTTTCTCATGCTTTAATCAGCCACAATGTGAAACGACACATTGGACAAAACCCTTAAGTGTCACAAGCAGCGATAGAGATGGTCCAGTGAATCAACAACAAGGATTTAGTGTGTCCTTTGTAAGTTCCATTGATTCAAATGGGCCTACTCTAGTTGCAACTTATTTCAACACACTAAGGCACAACTTGAGTAGGCCTCTTTAAATCAATGGAACTTACAGAGGAGTTACGCAGAGCTGACTCACTCAATCCCCACTGATCCAATGGGCCTACTCAAGCAAAGCAACAAGAGTTTAGCCGCTACACTGAGTTTGACGGAAAACGTTACACAGGCTATTTCAGTTTCATTTTTTCCCCCTATCTCTAAAAGCTTTAAATAATAATAAAGGTTGCAGACTTGGGACAACATCCTGCAATGACTGTACATATAAATAACTGTACTGCTAGGGCTTTGTTTTACGTCAGTGTGGCTGATCTCGCCCCTAACCCAGGATTCAGCTCTAGACGTTTATCTGACCACCAGCCTTCATCTTCATCACCGTCCTGACATTTCAAAACAGAATAAGGAAGAACACGCCACTAGGTGAACAGAACATCTGGTTGGGGCAGATGTTTACTTCTCTGTGGAAAAGGCTCTTTTCATCAGAGGTGGAGGCGTCTTGCCCACATCGAACATCATTTCCAAAGGAGGATTGTTGAGGCAGCACCAATCCGGGATGCGGCCCATCTGGTTGTAATATTCCTTCGAAACAGAACGGCTCCCCAAGATGTCCTGGAGGGCTCCGAAGATGGCACCTGCAACGTGGAACAAAATGCCCCCTTTTTTAAGTAGAAAAGAATAATCGTAGGACAACCAACACGATGGTAGCAGGAGGCAGCAGTCCAACTGAGGTTACAGTTGCTCACCTCTCAGTTAATGCTGACTTATTTTAATTACCACCTCGCTGTTTTAAAGCAAAGCAAAAAAGCAAGCTAAGCGTGTTGCGTATACAGTGGTGCCTCGCTTGACGAGAATAATCCGTTCCAGCAAAATCGCTGTAGAGCGAAACCCTCATCAAGCAAAATAAAAAAGCCCATTGAAACACATTGAAAACCGTTCAATGCGTTCCAATGGGCGAAATACCTGCTCGTCCAGCGAAGATTCTCCATAGGGCGGACATTTTCGGGTGCCTGTGCAGTGAAAAATGCCTCCTAAAAACAGCGGGGAGCCATTTTGAGCAGCCGGTGGCCATTCTGAAAACCCGAAGAATCGGTTCGAGAAGCAGGGAACCGATCGTCAGAAAGTGAAAAAAGCCCATTAAAACATCATTTTGTTATCGCAAAAACATCGCCGTGAAGCGGATTCTTCGTCAAGCGGGGTAATCGTTAAGCGGAGCACCACTGTATACCACTCCATAGTACTTAAAGCTCTTTCTAGGTGATTTACAACTTAGTTATCCAGACTACATGTTGCCCTCCCAGTGAGCTGGGTACTCAATTTTCCAAACTCAGAAGGATGGAAGGTTGAGTCAAGCTTGAGCCGGCCTGGGATTGAACTCAGGTCGTGAACAGAGTCTTGACTGCAGTACTGTGGTTTAGCCACTACACCACCCTCTCCAACGCATCCTTGAGTCTTGGATCAATACCTCTGAAGATACATATCATAGTTCTTGCCAATACTAAATGTAGTTGACTGGATATCTTAGTGGTTTAGGTCTCTGGCTGCAGAGGCTGGAAGTTCCATCCCCCACTGTGCATTCTGGGAAAAGACCCAGCCTTGGTAGCCTTGGGCAAGCTGCACAGCCTCAGAGCGCCCCTAGAGGAAGGGAATGATAATACACTTCTGAATACTGTACCCTCTATCTGAAAAACCCTGGAAAGGATCACAATAAGTTACAACTGACTTGATGGCACATCGTTATTACTATTAATACCAAATGTAGTTGATTAACTGAGCACCTGCTAGTTTGGCAATGAAAGCAGGGCTACCCAAAAACAAAAGGATGTCTTTTATTTAGAATGCTTAAAAGCCTCCTAGCCGCTAGGAAAATACTATTAATACCAAATGTAGTTGATTAACTGAGCACCTGCTAGTTTGGCAATGAAAGCAGGGCTACCCAAAAACAAAAGGATGTCTTTTGGAATGCTTCAAAGCCTCCTAGCCGCTAGGAAAGGACCTTTGACCTATTAACTGCCCTTGAGGTGTTGTGAGGAAAAGAGGAGGACAATGCATGTCACCCTTCACACTTTGGAAGGTCGTGAAAAAGCAAAGTGTGCTGCTTATACACTGCCCCATAGCGCTTCAAGCACTCTCTGGGCGGTTTACAAGTTAATGATGCAGGCGACACGTTGCCACCACAACCCCCGGCAAGCTGGGGACTCTCTGGGCCAATCTTGGAAGGATGGAACGCTGAGTGAACCTAGAGCCGACTTCCCTGGGATTGAACCCTGGGGTTGTGAGCACAGTTTGGGCTGCGGTGCAGCAGTTTAACCCATGCTATGAAGCGCAGGGATCAGGTGCAAGCAAATCTGGGCTTCATTTGCGTTCAGGGCACAGACTGGTCTCCGCAGGAGGAGGAGGACGAGGACTGGGTAACAGCTGAAGACGGGAATCGCAAAGTCCTGCAGGGCCCCCGCCGCCCCCCAAAGTGCATTCCCACTTGTTTCAAACTCACCTCCTAACCAAGCCGCACAATTGGGCTTGGCGGGCGGGGTGTGCACGCGGAAGGCCTTGGAGGCCAGCCTCTCCTTATACTTGGGCTTCTCCACCAGGTACCTGATCTCCGCCATTAACCGGTGCAGGAACCCGGGCAACATGGCGGTGCCACCGATCACCACCAAGTTCTCAGCCAACTGCTTTCTCGTATCTATTGGACACTGAGAGGGGGAAAAAAGAGAGGTGGGAGGGAGCTTTTCGTGAAGCCACCGAGAAAGTAAAAGCCACCGTACAGGCACCTGAGTCAGGTCTGCCAACGGGTTGTGGTCTGAAGGGAAAAACGAAGTGGGCTTCCAAGCCGAGAATGGTTTCTGACACCCTTTCTTGCACAGTTACAGGCTTGGAATCCTTGGGCTAGTTAGCAATGTTCCCTGTCTGTTAAAAAAAAAACACCCCACAACTGCATAGTATTAAAATGCGGAAAATTTGAGCACCGTACAGCTGCCTGAGAGTCAGGTCTGCCAACGGGTTGTGGTCTGAAGGGAAAAACGAAGTGGGCTTCCAAGCAGCACCGCTCGCTTGCCCACAGACCGGCCATTCTCTGCCGAAAATGGTTTCTGACACCCTTTCTTGCACAGTTACAGGCTTGGAATCCTTGGGCTAGTAAGCAATGTTCCCTGTCTGTTAAAAAAAAACACCCCACAATTGCATAGTATTAAAATGAGGAAAATCTGAGCACCTGAGGTATTCTTATCTTCTTCAGTCCCTTAAGGGCTAAACTGGGCTTTTTAAGAGCACAGGAAGCTGGCTAACTGAGGGCTAACTTCCTCATGTGCCTGCAACAGAACAATCTCCTGTTTCTCCTAACCGCTGCTGAGCAAATGGACTGTGGTTTGTCTCCTCATCCCTTTCACCAGGTTTCACTTGTCCAGAGAAGGCGGTTAACAGGAGAGTGAGGGGCGGGGGAAAGCCCAGAGCAGTGGATCGGCAGCCACCCTCATGAAAACATTGCCTAGGGATTTATTTAAGTCCTCTTACAGTAGTTAAAGAGCAGATCAATGTGTGGAAGGTACGCTGGTCAGCGTTATGCTATGCTATTGGGGGGGCAAGAATATGTGGGGGGGTCCTTATTGGGGCATGTGAGCAGATCTGGAGAGTTTGCATTCACTGGATCAGGTCAAAACAGAGGTGTTTACAACAGGTAAACATTTCCTGATCATGTCATCCAAACAGCCAAAGAGAGAAAAACTATCTTGTTGAAAATTGCTTTCTGCCATCGTTTTATTTATGCATTCCTGTGTTATGCATTCACTCTCGAATTGGCCTCCTCAGCCACACTAGACGCTGTTCCAAGTCCTCCATACAGAGCACGATACCATAGTCTTTCGAGACTGAAGGATGCCTACTACCTGTGTAAGATGTAACTTTGGAACTTTCCACCTGGAGCCATCAAAAGAGTAACTTGCTTTATTATTCAGCAAGATTCACTAGGCACAGATGCTCTCTGTGTCAGTGATTCTCAAAAGCAATGTTGTTTATGGTTTAATCACTAAGCTCCACCCTACGTACTGTTTTGAGACCCTCGGTGAGTAAATGAGGACGAGTCTCTCCCCTACAGTGTATCTGGGCGAGGAGTTCCTTGCTGGCAGGGTTTTACGGCTAGAAGAGAAGCAGAACAGCAAACAACAGGAGTTGTGGTACCTCAACAAGGGAGTCCAAGATTAAAGTAGCCACTGATTTCTCTTCGTTATCCTGCTCAAAGAGGATCTCAACAACAGAATCTCTGTTGGCAAGAAATAAAAGGAGGTTTTGAGTAACCAACGCAGACAACAAGGGACCGTTTCTTTTCAGGGGTTTGGAATACAACGCCCCTCCCTTCCCACATAAAAATCACAGAATCAGGGAGTTGGAAGGGGCCTGTGAGGTCATTGAGTCTAACCCCCCTGTTCAAGGCAGGAACCCAAATCGCAACAGATCTCACAGGCGGTTGTCCAATTTTCTGTCGAAGCCCTCCAGCGCTGGAGCGTTCCCCATCTCCCAAGGTCACCGGTTCCATCATCATAGTACTCTAGCAGTTAAGGAGTTTTTCCTGATACTCAGCCTAAATCTGGCTTCTTTCAGCTTGAGCCCATTCTTACATGTTCCAACTGATTTGAAAGGCATTAAATCTTTAAGAGAACAACGCAGGATCAGAAGGATTTTTCGGATGGACCTGATGCGCGCATTTGGCCACTGGAGTTAGCAGGGACAGCTGCTGGGACCATCAGGGTGGCCAGGAGCCTGAAAAACATTTCCTACCTCTGTACACTTTGCTCCTGCACAGTGAGAAACATCCCAAGAGGAGCGGTGGTGAAATGGAAAAGCCACCTTGTAGAATTCTTACTGGAGGGCCGATGGGCAGAAGAGGGGGAAATAACTTCAGTCCTCTTATAAGACCCCCACCCCCAACGCTCTCATATGGCTAACCTGATTGCTCCATTCACGTGCAGGATCTTCTCCCCATCCAGCGGATAGTCTACATCTGGAGGCGGAACTGGACGCTGCAATGGAATGAATGTACTCAGAGGAGGAAAAGTTGTTTTTTAAAAACAACAACAATCCTCTCCTAGGGAGCCGAAAACTCTTATTCCTCACCTACCTCCGTGCTGCCATCCAGATTGAATTTTGCTGCCTGAATTTTCAGTCCCCGCTGGAGGTCACTCACGAAGCAAGTGCGAACTGTGAAAAAAGACAAGACCGTGTTTTGATCGTTCCTCCATAACTGATAATCCCACCTTGAAGTGTAAGTGTAAGATTTGGGGCTGCAATTCCCAGAATTTGCCAAGAATTCCCTTGGGGCAAAATCCTAGGAGATGCAGAAAAAAAAAAAACAGGACCTTAAAGAGAAATTTTAATCACCTCCATGCATGCTGTCACCCATGTATGGGCCTTTAAAGAAGGAAACAGCTCCTGGTGGTGCCTGGGCGTGGCAAAGGGTCATGGGATGGGTGGTCTCACTGCCCATTAGGCTGTATGGAGGGAGCTTCTCAAAGAACTACCTGTCCCAAGTTACCTTGTGGCTCACATGAGCCTCTGCCATTCCCAGGAAGCCTTTCCTTCTTCTTGAAAGGCTAACATAATGGGGACAGGGAATCACCGCCACCATCATAACTGTATGCCACGGAAGACCTGTGGACCTACAAGGTTTTATGGGACAGCTCAGCGGTTTAGGCATCAGAAGGCTAACATAATGGGGACAGGGAATCACCATCATAACTGTATGCCATGGAAGACCTGTGGACCTACAAGGTTTTATGGGACAGCTCAGCGGTTTAGGCATCAGAGTTGGGAGTTCGATTCCCCACCAGTGCCTCCATGACAGGGGCTGGACTGGATGATCCATAGGGTCCCTTCCAGCTCTGCAGTTTTAAGATGATAATGGTGATGAAGAAGTCAATTCTGATTTATGGCAACCCGTTCCAAGGTTTTCTAGGCATAGAGCACTCTGAAGCGTATTACCCTTCCCTTCCACTAGGGGGCAGCCTTGGGACTGAGCAGCTGGCCCACGGCTACCTAGGCTGGCTCTCTTTGTAGGAGGCACCAGGGGGAGGCAGAGAATCCAACTCCCGAACCTCTGGCTCTGCAGCCAGATGACCTCAACCACTGAGCTATCCAGCCAGCTCAGAGAGCCACAGAGGTGATAAAGGCCTATCTTTAAATGACTTTTTTTGCTGCATTTCCCAGGATTCTTTCTCTCTGATGGAAATCTTGGTCAATTCCGGGAGCAGCATCCTAAGAAATCCAGACGTTCCATCTTCTGTATCCCCAGTGCTGTTGTTCTGAGGACGAAGTTGGAAGATGCCACTTTTGAGCTCACAGAAGAAAAAAGTGGAATAAAAATGTATCCATAGTCATTGCAATGGAGGAAGCTGACTGGCCCATGTGGTTCCCCCCCCCCCAAAAAAAACCTCTGCCTTTTCTTGTGAAAAGGTTACCTTTTATATCTTCAACAATTTCTTCTGGAACAGAACCTGGAAAAACAAGAAATATTTCGGTCCAGCTGAAGTAGAACTGACAGGATTCAAACACTCAGCATGATGAGAAAGACTTAGCTAAAATCATACTGGAATGTTACCCTTTGTAAACAATAAGGATGTAACTTCTGGAGGACCACTAGCTTGAGTTAAGAAACCAGCACAGACCTTTCCTTGTGGGATTTTTGGCCCCTGAAAGAACCCTAGTGTCTGGAACTCTATATTTAAGGACACATCTACTGAGATTCTGCAGAATCAGAGCCACATTTTGCTTTCAAGACTGTATAATGGAATAAATCAAGAGCACTGAAAATTCTCTCCTCTTCCCTAAGTTAACTAACATGCCCAGGGTTGGCAATAAATAAGTTTTCATTTATTAAGTGAGGTACAAAAAGCTATCAGGAGCCCTGTAGCACAGTGATTAAACTGTAGTACAGACTCTGCTCACAATCCGAGTTTGATCCCAACGGGCTCAGATAGCCGGATCAAGGTTCACTCAGCCTTCCGTCCTTCCAAGCTGATAAACTGAGTACTCATATAAGGGAAGCAATATGTGACCCGCAGAATTGAACTGAAAACCACCCAGAGGACCATGGGGCAGTATATAAGCAGCATGTTTTATTACTTCTCAATCATAATAAAAATCCATAAAGGACATTTCAATTGAACTTAATGGAAACAAGAGGCGTCCTTCTCGGTTCAAATAACGGCAACTTACCCATCACCGAGGGAAGACTCTGTCTTTTGCTGGTTCCAGTATCCACAGTGCTCTGTTCCAGCAGCTGATATTCTAACTCTCTAAAGGATGGCAATCAAGGGAGGGCTTTAGCAAAAGTGCTCTCGTTCAACTCATCTAATGCACCCACCCACACTTAACGGTTACACCTAGCTTTTCTGTCTATTTCACCAAGAACTGTTTCCGGCCTCTTTTGTTCCGGTCACAACGGAACAAAAGGGGAGGCTTGTGCAAAGGGGGGAGGACCTTGCCCAGCAGGGTTGAAACTTAGAGGGAACATTGATCGGGAAGGGACTTCCGTTTAGGAAAGTGTCCCTCTATTGCACTGGCTGCTCTTGCAGAAATGCATTGCACACAGTGGACCTGGGAGATCCAAGCAGCAGTACTGGAGATCATTCCCCTGCCCCCGTGACATTGGCATACCAATGGATCTTCCCGTACAAATAAAGAAAACTATTACTCTCTAGTAATGTAATGGCAGAGGTCTCCTGGTGACATACTTTTACCAACATATCAATGCCTCATGCACAAAAAATTAAAACAAATTAATATGTGTGCCGCAGTAGCGGCAGCCACCTTCCAGACTTTGATTCTGGAAGGAAGAGGGTCAGGGGGTGCATCCAGGCAATCCCGATAAAGACTGCAATGGTAACAAAAGGTACAAAATAACACCATCCTTCTGGCGATGGGAAAATGTCCCACAATTACACCGATGGCCAAGAAAATGTCTCAATTTTGACTGTGCATCGAGTGAATAGGGGAAAAAGCAATGAACGAATGGGGGGGGGGAAAAATGTCCCACAATTACACCGATGGCCAGGAAAATGTCTCGATTTTGACTGTGCATCGAGTGAATAGGGAAAAAAGCAATGAACGAATGGGGGGGGGGAGGGGATAACTAGAGAACATTTCCCTCGTGTGACCAGGGCTCAAGTCTTTTGAATGCTTCAACAAAACTGCTTGCTGTCCACTTACTTGTGGATGGCTTTTCCTCCAAAAGGAAGGGCACCCCAGCAGTTCAGCACTGGAATGCCTTCGTAAACCTGCAGGTCGCTAAGGATGTTTCAGTCCTGAGATTGCTCACACAAAGGACCAAACCTGAGCACTGTTTACTAGACCTACTCTGAAAAGTGCAAGGTTAAAACAAAAAATAGTCATATTGAAATAAGAGACAAATTTGTACTACGAATGTCTGCCCCATTTGCAGTGCTTCAAATCTGGAACTTTTAATTTATAAGGAAGACATTTAGGTTTTCAGCAATACAGTACACAAACTATTCTGAGTTAGGGCTGCTTGAAGAAGAAGAAAAAAACCCAAAGAAATATTTTAACGATAAAGAAAAGTCTTTTCCAACTCCTTGGACAAGATGAACAGAAAACTGATTGTGAAAAGTTAAAAATGCTGGAGCCCCAGAATGCTGACTGAACCAGAGCTGGTAATTTACTTGGCATATTTACCTCCTGCTTCATTAAAAATATCCCCAGAGGGAACAAGCCCAAGACCATTGTGCAACCACCCTGCAATCACAAGCTACTCTGGATGGCTTTGTAAGATCACATGGTAACAGAATGAGTTTCCTTTTTCCTGACTTGTGTTTGGAGGGGGGAGAGAAATTGGGGAAAAAGATACAGGCAACACCAGGCTTTCTGTATAACCGCAGTCCAAGACCATAGCAGAGTTGATGCCAAGGGTCAGGAGAGACATCAGGTGGCTTGGGGCAAACAACACTGAAGGAACCTAGAAGAAAACACAGAGGTGACCAACCGAATCAGTTGCAAAACGGCAGTGTCTATTTTGCCCTTAAAACACAGAGACCAGGTTCTACATTTCTGGTTAAATGAATACAGTGGCCAGGAAAGGTCCTCTCCAGAGATGCATGGCTGGAGATCATCTGCTTTGACTCGGAGCTGCTGTTACGCATGGAGGCTTGAGATGTGAGCCTGTCCTCTATAAAGTCAGGTTCAGAAGCCTACGGGGAGCCTCCAAGCTGTCTTTGCTTCAGACTCATGACTTTTCATGTGACGAGGCAGGCGGAACAGGCTCTGCTCCTCACATGATTCGTCAGTCTTTTTTTCCACAACGTCTGATTAAGAAAATCCGAACAAATGTTCGGTAGACTTCTTGTATTGTTACTCCCGTTGTGTCTGGACTCCTCTTTATCGAAAGACGCTGCAGAACAGAAAAGATGGGACTGGCCAAGGGTTCTCCATTTGGTGCATGCATGCCCAGGCGACCCTCTTCCTTGCCGAAGAGAGATAGAGGCAGGAAGCCGTGCGCTGCAACGACCACGGTCCATCTCAGCGCCCACGAGCAACACTGGAAGTTGCAACAGGGGACCGAAAGCCTGTTCTTACAGAGATGGAAGACAGGTGGACCTGCCAGGTGCTATGGGACTCCAGCGCCATTTCCATCAGCCTCAGCCACCATAGTAACTGGCAATAGATGACGGAGTTCAACGATATCTGAAAAGGCCCTGTTCCCCACCAACATCTAACCTTTTTCACACCATGACCTTTTACAAGGTCTCACTTGTTTAGTCGTTAAGTCGTGTCCGACTCTTCATGACCCCATGGACAAGAGCACGCCAGGCCCTCCTGTCTTCCACTGCCTCCCAGAGTTCGGTCAAATTCATGTTGGTCGCTTCGATGACCTTGTCCATCCATCTCGTCCTCTATCTTCCCCTCCTCCTCTTGCCTTCACTCTTTCCCAACATCAGGGTCTTTTCCGGGGAGTCTTCTCTTCTCATGTGATGGCCAAAATATTTGAGCCTCAGCTTCAGGATCTGCCCTTCCAGTGAGAACAAGGTCTCACACTCATTCTCAAATCTTGACAACCCATCTCTGGCTGGGGGATTCTGGGAGGGGGTCATCCAAAAAAAAGGGGGGGACTTTTCTCTAGCCTCACAAATAATTACCCTCTCCTGTAGAGACTGCTCTTGTTCGTTTCTTTATGGATGGCAAGAGTTTTGCTTCTGCAGCCTAATGTTCCTTTACATCCACAAGCGTTCTGACACACAGGACCCTCTGCCTGCGCACCAAAGCAACCAGTTTCATTTGGATGTTCTTGCCACCCCTGTCTAGTCAAGAAAATAATTTAAAAACTGAACGAGATCTCCATGTGCACTACCGAAGCAAGCAAACTGATCTAGGCTGGATTATATTTCTTAACAAATTCATACCTCACGTGGGAATTAAAACCCGCTTTCCCAGCAGCTGTTCCACTTACTAAGCCAAAGGTATTAATTTAAGTAAATTCACATTGAAGGTCATAACGATGATACTTCCCCCATAAAGCCTGCATTGAGATGCAAGCTTCCGGAAGACATTCAACAGCGAAGGCAGAAGCTATTAAAAACCCCAGTCAAAGTCAGCCATTGCTTTTCCCACCAGCGCGCTGAGAAAAACTCAGCAATGACTCCGAATGCCAGCCGGAGCAGATGCTTGGAATCCATTACCTCAAAATACTTGAACAGAACCTTTGTGAGGGTCTCTCTGAAATGGGAAGGGCACAGCACCGACTCCACAATCACAACACGACGGTCACGAGGGTTGACCAGCAGGTGCCTAAAAAGTTAATGCATGAGACCAGAAAGCGGAATCAAAGCTAAGATTACCTGGGGATACAAATCCATTCCCTACTCAGAGACCCCAGAAGACTTGAGTTCTACTGCAACTTCTGAGCTTAAGACGGCAATCTTATGCACATAGTAAGAGAGAAGTAAATCCCTCGGAATAGAGCGGGGCTTACTTCCAAACGGACAAGCACCGAATTATATCACTAACCCACAAGCCAAAGGCGATCGGGAAAAATGTACAAGGTGAGACGGATCTCTTCTGGCACAGAAGTGAATTTCCCACTCGTTTCTGCTTTTCTTTTCTTTAAGAGCTGGGTATGGCTAGAACTGCAGAAGAAGCACCGTGTTTTTGCCCAGAAGAAGCCTCTGTGTGAAGGCCAATTTATTAGGAAACATACAGTTATATTTATTAATATAAATAATGGTACCCGTTTGGATGAAGTCCAGTTTGCAAACAACAAATTCTGAAATGCTGTTTTGGTTGTTCTAAATTATTCATACTCACATGATCGCTAACTCATTTACACTAGGAGCAGGTACTTGTGTAATTGTACTCATGGTCCTGTGATTTTTTAAAACTACATATAACGTACATTACGTTGGTGCTGTAACCTGAATTTGCTTTTTATTACGTTTATGAACTTTTAAAAAAACTAACGATATTCTCTGACTCACAGAAGACCTGTTGAAGTATTTCAGGACACTTACTTAAAGAGTTGTTATGATTGTCTCTTCCTGTTAAACAACAACACCCTGTTGTTTTGTCAGATGCCTTCCCACCCTGGCCTCATTCAGCCTGCCAGCCTTAGTGCAGAGGTGAATTTATTTTGCCTCTTGGATAATGGACAAGTTGAAAAATGCTGCAAGCCAGACCTCTCATGCATTACCAAAGGACAGACTCCCGCTGGTGTTAAAACAGGAACTGAACATGAACGAGCTTGGCTCAGTGCTGAGGCCAGCCACTTCTAACCCCCGGAGTCTCTTCACCACGGAAGCATCAAGCCCTAGGCAGTCCACTGGCAGTTCTAGACTGCAGAGCACAAAGCCCACCTTTCCACTGAAAAGGCATCCCCTACCTGAAATAGAGCATGTGGATAAACTCCTTCAGATACGAATACAACTCTTCTGTATTAATGTTGTACTGAACAACTTTGATAGGCTGCAAAAAAAGAAGAACCCATCAGAAACAATCTAATTTTTTAAGACAGTAGGACCATGGTATCTACAGGGGGTCATTTTGGAGTGCCCCTGCAGATGATGAAATCCTGAAGATATGCAGGCCCAATATATAGAGTTGTGAGCCACTTTGAGTCCCTTCAAATGCAGCATATAAATAGGCAGTCCACTGGCAGTTCTAGACTGCAGAGCACAAAGCCCACCTTTCCACTGAAAAGGCATCCCCTACCTGAAATAGAGCATGTGGATAAACTCCTTCAGATACGAATACAACTCTTCTGTATTAATGTTGTACTGAACAACTTTGATCGGCTGCAAAAAAAGAAGAACCCATCAGAAACAATCTAATTTTTTAAGACAGTAGGACCATGGTATCTACAGGGGGTCATTTTGGAGTGCCCCTGCAGATGATGAAATCCTGAAGATATGGAGGCCCAATATATAGAGTTGTGAGCCACTTTGAGTCCCTTCAAACGCAGCAAATAAATAAATAAATAAATAAATAAATAAATAAATAAATAAATAAATAAATAAATAATGTATGTATGTATGTATGTATGCATGTATGCATGTATGCATGTATGCAAGTAATGTATGTATGCATGTATGTAATTGATTAATTGATTGATGTACTGCCCCATTAATGCAAAGAATGATTCTGGGTGGTTTACAACTATAATCCTGTATTAATAAAAGCAGATGACCTTAACCACAACTCTAACTCCTATCCTCTGAAGATGTCGGCCACAGAGACAGGCAAAACAACACAGCCAAACAGCCCAAAAAACCTACAACAATAGATTGAATTGTTTCACATCTCAACTTACAGCCTTGCAATTTGTAAGTACTCTTGGGCTTTCATAATGTTTTACCAGCTTGAAATGTGGTATAAATGGCTTAAATTTTTTAAAAAATGGGAAGCAGTATACAAACATTTTAAATAAAGAATGTTAGCACAAGATCCATTATAACACCTTTAAAGCATTAAGTACACCAGAACACCTTTCTGGTCTCGAGATCAATGTTTAATATTTATAAAACGGTCCGCAATATATCTTTACTTTTAAATATAAATCTACCTTTGAGATACCAGGCTTCTTTATTTCACTAGGAATAACACATCTTGGTCCGGTTTCACCCGCAAAGCCACATCTGGAAAATTAAATAAAACACACATTTACCATTAAAACAAACCAAGCAAAATAGGCTGGACTGGCAGAATTGAGCTCCAGTTAGCGTCAGCTTGAATCTCAGATTGGCCAGTTATATGCCAAGTTAAATTAGGAACAGCTCAAAATACATGTTAAAACAACACATAAAGCGCGTGCTCTGTAACGTTACATCTGCTTTAAAAATTCAACAGCTTTCATTTTGTTTCTTTTTCAAAATATAAATTCTTAAGTTCCCAAACTAAAGCTCATATTCTTAATCAACACGCTGCGCTTCAGAGTCTTAAAATGCCAAAATCGTGGGTCCATTGTATTTATCTCCAATGCACACAAGTCTGAAGAAGTTTTACAAATCCAATGTGAATGCTCCCATAGCCTTTTAAAAGAAAAGAAAAGCAGCAAAGAAGATTAAACAGCTCTGCTGGTCTATAAGTTATCTCCTCCACTGCCCTATAAGAGAATAAATAACTTTTCTTCCTCAACTTGAATGCAAAATCCTACACTCTTCACCGTATTTATAACGGCATCTTAGGGAAGCTGGGAATCTCCCATGGAGATGCATGATGGCAGGCAAAGGGGGACTTCTCATTGACAGCCAGACACTAAGAAAAAGCCTGCTTGAAGATAAAAGTCGGCTGTTTGGGATAAGACAGCAAAGATGGGGCCAACCATGGGAATAACTGTATCCTTCAATAGGATCTCAAAAAACCTTGACTGTGGTTCTTTTTTGGATTTGTATACAGCAGGACCTCTGTATCTGCAGGTCAATATTCATTGATTCTCTTATCCACAGTCTGAAAACACTCAAAGAAAAATCCTAGAAATATACTGTACTGTATATATTTCCAAAGCTGAAGTTACCAGAACTGGCCCCTAGAAGGAGCCAGAGACCCTGCTATGTACAGTGTTCAGGATTAAACTACTGTTTGCTATTATTCGCGTTTTTTAGCTTCCGCGGAAGGGGGGCTTGGGCAGGGGTCCTGTTACTAACTGTTGATCGCTTTAAGTATTTATTTATTTATTTTATTTATATGCCGCCCACACTACCCAAAGGTCTCTGGGCGTCTTACAACATTTAAAATACAATAAAAATCCAGAACAATTAAAATGCAATTAAAAAAAAATATATTAATATTGCCATCGGACCCAAAGCTTTTCTTGGATGAAAAACAGAACAAGGACTGCTAAAACCAGACAGGAGAGTATAAGAACATAGAAGACAAGCAGGATAAAAACATTTAACAAAATAATGATCGATGATGATGATGATGATAACAAAGAGGGGAATGTCTACACTGCAGCGCAAGGGTTACAAATAATGTCTGTCGACATTTATTGGTGCTAATAATAACTCCACTAAGGTCTTTCCGTTCAAAGGTCTGTCCCTGCGCTCCTCAGGATCCTCCCGCGCCACTCTGACACGGAAGAAGCACGGTTCACATGTGCAGGGTGTACACGGGTGTTTGATTTTGTTAAAAAAGAGAGAGAAAGAGGCTTGCTCGGCCTGACCCACGATCCCCCCCCCCACCTGCCATTGACCCGCTGTCTTTTAACGCTGTAAGACGCCTTGGGTTCTTTATTTGAGGAGAAAGTCGGGATAGAAATATGTTAAATCAATAAGCACTCAAACTTAGGGATGTGGCGCGTGGGGAGATGCCGCCGCCGCCGCCGCCCCTCTGATCTAGGAAACCGGGTCGGGAGTCAGAGGAAGATCAAGGCAGGGACTCCCTCTACGGTTCCTGCCTGGCAGCGAGTCGGGATCGATGACCCTTGGAGGGCCCTCCGGCCCCCGCCGCCCCCTCACAGCCCCGTATGAGCCTTACTTGGTGTAGGCCGCGCCCAGATCGATCACCACCGCGGTTTTCTCCCCGCCGCTCCCCAGCCCCTCGTACAGCGGCATCGCGGCGGCCGCGCCTTGGACGCGAAAGCCAGGCGAAGGAAAGCGGGAGGAAAATCCGGCCTCCGGCAGCGAACTAAACACCCCACATAGCCAGGAGGGTCTTTTGGCACAGGGCGGCGCGCTAAGCTGATTGGCCGAGGCGGGACAATGTCGGGAGGCGGGCCCTTCCTCCTCTGCCGGCGCGCTCCCCCCGCCTCACCAGAGCTGCCCTTTCCTCCTGCCTGAACGCAGGAACTGTATTTATTTATTTATTCATTTATATAATAGATTTTTAAATAATTTTTATTTAATAATTAAATTTATTTAAGAATATTTGTTTATTTATTTTTAAACAAACAAACAAATGTTTCTGGTTTCCCTGCAGCAGGCGTTGGATCTGTGGCTGCTGCGCATTTTGTTGGAAGCTGAAAGTTATCCCTTTCTAATCAAACCGTTTTTAAAATAAAGACGAAAAAGTTGAAGTGTCTGTACTTCTGTATTACACCAGGCATACTTAACATAACATAAGGGTAACATACACACACCGTCGGATGTTCGAGATAACATGTATCCTATGTAAAACAAACTATGCGCCCCAGCTTTCTTATTTATTTATTTTATTTTATTTATATGCCGCCCACTCTACCCAAAGGTCTCTGGACGGCTTACAACAATTGCAGTCTTTATTGTTCGTTTGTTTAATTCACCACTTGGGTGACTTAAACAAGGACTGCCATGGGTTCTTTTTAAGGAGAAAGACGGGATAAAAATATTTGAAATAAATATCAGTCGCTTATTTAAGGTGCCACCACATTTCTCTCTTTTCTTTTGTTTTCATCTATAATGCTTGCACATACTACTCCTACAGCTTTTTAAAGTCAGAGTAGGGGGGGACCCTACCGTTTTTTCATATGGCATATCCTTATTTTCTCTAAGCAGTGACAGAATGTAGGTCTTTGGTACTGATTGATTGGTTAATTGTGAATTTTTATACTGCCCAAGTAGCGTGAGGTGAGGCACTAACTCAGGGCAGTTAACAATCTGATCTGTATGAATACTGTAGAATAAAACAGCAAAGCAAAAACTAAATAATAAGGAAATCAAACCAAGAATGGCATAAAGCAAGCAGATCAAATTATGGAGGTATTTTAATAGTCATCTGCCATTACGGCAAACAATTCATCCTTTCATGCCACCTTATGAACTTGTTGTAGCCTACTTAGAATTGCTGTTAAGCAAAGACGAAAGATGTGCAGCCAATTCAAGATGGAATCAGTCCCTCGGGGATGTGTGGCAGTGGGAAAAGTATCTGGGCCAGTGCTGGTTATTTTAGATTTTGGGTTTTTAAAATATTTTTATCCCATTGACCAGACAATTCAAGCCTCAGTCCAATCTGATGTATATATTTTTTTCTTTCTTTCTGGGAGGATGGTATTGTTTTGTTTCAGGATTTGCCCCAGAGGGGCAGAACTTAACCCTACCTACCAAGACTTCTTGTCCCTTATGTAGCTTTGAAACAAGCCTTTAAAAATGCCCCCTCTAAAAAAATCTCCAGAGACAAAGCAACAGCAAGAAAGTGGATCTATAAGGATTTCTTTCTCGAGAAACCTAGAAAATTGCCTTGCAAAGACGGTCATTTGAAGTACACTGCATTGCACTAATACTGAGAAGCCAGGGCCCACTTTGGGATGACTCACAATACAGAAGAGAAAGCCGGGCAGGAAAAGTAGCAACTTGGTTCTGCAGAGCAAGTTCCCTGGGGAATCTATATCTGGGCCAATGCTTTTAAACTCCATCTTACATGACAGAGAAAACAGCACAATGGCCAAGCTTGGTGGTGGCACAAAATTATTCTGGAAGGTGAGAAAGAGACCCGATTGCTAACAGTTCCCAGACAATGTCTCGAAACTGGAGGAATGGATGGTGAAAGAGCAAATGAGAATCAGTGCAAGCAAGGTGTAAAGTGATGCATACTGAGGCAAAATCAATCAATCAATCACAGCTTCATCCATATGCAGAGGTGATCCACAGCTGACAGAGACTGGGCAAGATAAGGGTTTGGGGGTCATGTTTGTATGTTGTTGTTGTTTGCTGTCAAGGTAAGTGAATGAGTTAAGGAGTGGTTTTTACCAGCGATGGATAGTCCAGCGAAAATGTCAATCCAGTATATGGCTGTTGTAAATAAATAAATAAAGGAAAAATACATTCTAAGTGAGAAAAAAATAAAAAAAACCTGTCATCATCATACTGGCTGCGAACAAACAGAGAAAACAAATATTCAAATATTGCCAGTCTGGAATGAATTGCTGGATCGCTCGGTGGTTTGGTTGGGAGTTCGATTCCCCCACGGTGCCTCCCTTGACAGGAGCTGAGCTTGATGATCCATATGCTCCCTTCCAGCTCTGCAGTTCCAAGATGATTATATAATCCTGAGCATCGCCACTATTATTATCATTACTATTATTTGTTTTTTGGCTTGTTTAACCCTGCCTTTCTTTTTGAGAAGAACTCAAGGTAGTTTATGCGATTGAAAGACAATACAGTGGTGCCCCGCATAGCGATGTTAATACATTCCGGATTAATCATCGCTATGAGGAAACATCGCTAAACGGAATGGAAAAACCCAAAGGAACGCATTAAACTTCATTTAATGTGTTCCTATAGGGCCCAAACTCATCGTTCAGTGAAGATCCTCCATAGCGCCGCCATTTTCGCGCCCTCGGTAAGCGAGGAAACCGCGCGAAAATGGTTGCGGCGTTTTGCCCATTAAAACATTGCAATGCGATCGCATTAGCAATCTAAAAAAATAGATCGCTATGCGGATTCGTCATTAAACGGTGCACTTGTTAAGCAAGGCACCACTGTACTTAAAGCTAAAAACAATAACTACAAATACTAAAAAAAAATCAAGCAGATACTACACTAAGAAATGGTAAACAAAAGCAACACCAGAAACATTTAAAGCAGTAAGGCATTACAACGATCCGTGTTAAAACCCTACCCAGGCAGCCAGTCACGGAGGGAAGGCTTGCCTGAAGAGAAAGGTCTTTGCCTGTTGGTGGAAGGACATGAAAGATGGGGCCAGGTTGGCCTCTAGTGGGAGGGAGTAGTAGACCTGTAGTATGGTCACACCTGGAATTCTATATGCACAATTCTTCTCAAAACATCTAAAAAAGGAAGATGTAGAGTTGGAAGATGGATACCAACATTATCAAAGAGCTGGAGAAGATACTCATAAGGAAAGGTTATAACAGGAAAGCTGGCAAGTCTTTGGGACTTGAGTCCTAAGTCCTGACTCTGAGTCTTCAGTCTCAAGTCCCAAATCTGAGTCCCTATGAAAAATAAGCTATTTCTGCCCCCCCAAAAAGAGAGGGGTTGGGTGGGTTCTGAGTTGCGAGTCTAGTCCAAGTCACTGAAAACAAAACGAAACAGAGTTGAGTTCAAGTCGACTCCCTGCTGCAAATTAAGTCCAACTTAACAGTGGGTCCTGCCTACTCAAGTTCCTATCCCTGGGCTACAATGGGCTAAGAACAAAGGTGAATAATTGGAGGTACGATATAGGTGCATAGAACTATACATGAACCAGAGACATATTGGCATAATTGCAGTAATTTAAGTTATAGCAGCAAATGGCTGCTAGTTAGCAAGTTCTTGCTTGTCTCCCCTGTGCATGCCTGTTGTGGGACTTGATGCACAACAATGGATATTAATGGCCACGGACTAATTCTCATGAATCTGCCTCTATAGTTTACATCATATTGCACTCATAGGCATCCTTCAGTCTCGAGAGACTATGGTAACATGCTCTGAATGGTGGAGTGTCCTCTCCAGAGCATGACACCTGGGTAAAATAATATGGAGGATAGGCTGTTACCCAAGCAGCAGATCCCCCCTCTCCACATTGCTGAAATGATCCAATGGAAAGGCAAGAGCCAATACAACTGGTTCCAGAAACGTCGCAGGAGTTGGCAGAACGACACGAACTGCCTTCAGGACTCCAGCACCGGATTTTGCCTCGAGGGTAACTCCTGAAGCCTTTTCCATGAGTGGATATAGCCACAAGGCAGTGGAGGTTTGAAATCGGAGTTTTCCTTCTCCTAGATGGGCTGCCTTCCATGGCTGACAAGTCCTACCTACCCTGCTTGCTCCCTAATAGTGCGGAAGTATGATCCGACCTTTACGGCCCATCTCTCCTTAAAAAGTGAAGGATGGTCATCTTTGGAAGAGGGTGGGGCTTGAGCAGACTGGAGAAAAGGGGAGGGGCTTCTGGGGCTAATCCTGACTTTTAGAGAGCTGGCCCTCCGGCCATGCCTTTCACTTGAAATTTAAGCAGGTTTCTTGAACTCTCAACAACAACAAAAAAAACCTCCTGGCTGAGGAGTGGAGCAGATTTCGCATTGGGCCCCTGGTCTGATCCATACTTTATTTCTGGCAGGTTCCTCTCCTGACAGGAATCATGTCAGAAACCAGAAACAAAAGAGGAGGCCATCAAACGGCAGAGGGAAAGGGTGAATGTTCAGTGGAGGAAAGCAAGTCGAGGAGAAGATGGAGAAACCTTTTGCTTGTCGAGAGGAAGCCCAAGTCCCTCAGAAAACATCCAAGGGCGAGGGAACCCATGAGTGCCCTGAGTGTGGGAAAACCTTTGCCTGTAAATCAGACCTAAATCGCCATGAGAAAATTCACACGGGGGAGAAACCGTTTACATGTCTGGAGTGTGGAAAAACCTTCAGCAGGAGCACAAGCCTTGCTATCCACCAAAGAGTTCACACTGGGGAGAAACCATATAAATGTTTTGAGTGTGGAAAGACTTTCAGCCATACCTCAACCCTGATATCCCATCAGAGAATTCACACAGGCGAGAAGCCCTTTGAATGCCTGGAATGTGGGAAAACGTTTAGATTGAGAGAAATTCTTACTGCCCATGAGAGAATCCACACGGGGGAGAAGCCATTCAAATGTGTGGCGTGCGGAAAGGCGTTCCGTCAGAGTGGAGACCTTGTTTCTCATCGCACAGTCCACACCACAGAGAAACCATCTGATTGCAAGGAATGTGGGAAAAACTTTAGATTGAAAAGATTCCTTGTTAGCCATCAAAGCGTACATACAGGAGAGAAGCCATTCGAATGTCTGGAGTGTGGAAA